CCGTCAATGTAACTGGAAACAATATAATACCTTGCATTTTTTTGAACAGACTAGCACAAAAACATGTGATTTCAAGTGACTTCTACATATTGGAGGTTTAAGGACATTTCAGGGTGTGGAGGTCAGGTTGTACAGTAGATCCCTTTAAGACACTAACTGCATGAAATCAGCACCCTGTACTCTAATCATCCAAGATAATTTGCTGGGTTCTTTCCTTGCGGTGTTTTTACTTCCAGGTTTTCAGCCTGTAAATTATTGCTGACTTGTTTTAAATTGGAGATCAGTAATTCACCCCAGAGATGGTCTTCCGTGTGGCCAAAAGTCCGGATTTCCGATGCCCTGAAGCCAGTTTGGGTTATTTGCATGAGCCAGGATGATAGAGAGAGCCTCTGCTCCTCACTGAAGGACAGCACCACTGCCGAGGGACTGGAGGGGTCACTGAGCCCCCACAACTCGCAGCTGGTTTATAAGAGGCTTTGAGCACTTTGATCAGCTACAGTAGGTCTGCTCTAGAAAGGAGCTGCAAGAGCACCACTGTCAGCACCACTTGCTCGATGTAAACTGGGGCTCCTTGCCCAACACAGAGCGCCTTGTGGTTTCTGACATGTCTCCAAGTACTGTGTAAAGACCGGAAGTGTGGTTCAGTACTGCCCACTTCCCAGTGCAGCCAACAGCAGAAACCTGAAAATCTCCAGCGATCTACCTGCCATCATGCACCGGTAAGTGCCTGCTCGATGGTGGGAGAGAGATCATTTTCCTTGTTGTGGATTGTGTGACACCTCACTCACACTGTGTCCTTAGGGCTGTGTTTTAATTCCATTCCAGGGGCTCGGGACACGTTAAAGAAAATCATTAAAACAGCCCAGTCGAAGAGATTCTGGTGTTGGCAAAGGGTTTAAACAAGCTGGCCTGGAGAGCTGATGAGTTTGTGAAGCAGAGGTGTGTACAGCTGTATTCAACCTATGTCTTCTCCTCTCACTCAGTTTCTCTGGCACAGGGTCTCATTCCCTCTTGTTACCTGAGGACAGGCACACCGGCATGCTCACACAGCGCTGCTCGCAGATCCAGTGCAAATGGCCTTCACACTTTCGGGAATAAAGAGTGATCCGGGCTTGGCTCCAGTGCCCATAGGCACAGTCCCCATCCCAGCTACCCTCCTTCAGTGTCACCCTGTGGAAGATAAGGACGTAACATCTAGTCAGCGTGTCACCAGCTCTATAACGCCTCTGTCTCTTGACGCACAACTTACATTTCATTGTTCAGCTCCCTCCCACCACTCCAGGTCCACACAGCACTGCTATCCCTCCTGCTCAGGCCCATCCAGTAATAATGCTCCTGTACCAGATCCCTCAGCATCTCCTGCAGAGTTTAACAGAGCAGATCACCAGCAGCGGGTATGGATTCAGCTCATTAGTTTATCAAAAAAAGGTAGAAGACTCATCTGATTCTCATGGATGACTTGAAGATCATCCAAAAAGTACATTCTTGTGCCATGGTGGGACACCTTGCGCCAGACACCCTCACTCTTTGTGTAAGGAAGTGTTTTTACCACCTTGACAGTATCAGATCTCCTGTCTTGTGGGAGTGTGGAGGGATCCTCGTACTGCCCCTGCACTTTGTGTTTCCAGCTGTGCAGGTCTGCTTTGAAGTTGCCCTTTGTATAAAAACCTGCCCAGCTATTTCCATAAAGACCAGTTAAAACAGTATACGCCTCTCCAGTAAAACTGTAGAGAAGCTCTAGTTCTCACCAGTTCCCTCTTGTCTTCAGTCACCACCAGCTGAGCGCCCACTGATGAGCAGAACTGACTCGCAGACTCCCAGGGTCTCCGGTCAGTAGAGACGTAGTAACATCTTCCACTGTCTCCCCCCTTCCATCCCTCTGGACAGCACTGCTGCTCTGTACAGACAGACACACAGGAATCACCTGGATTAATACTGACTGAGCCTCAGGGATTCCTCAGGACTCTCCTCTGTACAGACAGACACACAGGAATCACCTGGATTAATACTGACTGAGCCTCAGGGATTCCTCAGGACTCTCCTCTG